CTTTTCAAAATCCTACATCTGCCCATGGGTGGAAGCTTGCCTCTGCTTTCAGAGAAGAGTCCACTCTCTGGCAGAGCAAATGCGTGAAGTCTGTTCTCAGTTTGTCACTTGGCTCTTATTCATGCAAAGCTGTCATGGGCCTTGGCAAGACTTTGGCCTAAGAAGGAACTAAGGGAGGGCTTCAAGATTTATCTCCTCGGAATTAGGACTGCCAGAAAGTTGTGCAATGGTTGCAAACAATTCAAAATGTTTTAGAAAAAGCCCTGTAATAATAACATGATCATTAACAACAGCCTGCTGCACCTCCACAGGCCTTTTCATTAGACAGCCTCAAAACGCCGTGCCTTGCTAACTGAGTTTTGTGCCCATTGCGGCACAGGTAATGCTACAGTCTTCATGAATAAGCAGGATGTTCTTCTACGCTAAGCATCAGGCTTAACACAGAAGCAGTGCCCCGATTTTAACTTGGTTTGTCTCATCCCCAACTATGTGTTGAATATATATATAAATACTTATACCTGGGTTTGACATAGTTTCACCCAGTGATGTGGTTGTCCTGTGCAGTGGGGTGAGGGGTACTGGCTGGTGGCAGCTTGGTACTGGAAGAGAGCACTCCATGGGTGGCAAGTGTATACCAGTCACCATCCAAGGCAGCAGGACGACCAGTTCTGTGGCCAGTCCACCTCATTGATGAGAACCTTATTTCTGAGGTTTAACTTATTTCCCTATCCCTTTCTATTTGGTGATAGCGCCTTATTATGTCATCCATAGCACATAGCCAGGGGTCACAGAGCAAAGAGAGGGCAGCCTTGACACCACCTCTGTGGAGGTGGAGCAATTTTTGGAGCAAGTCTTATAATTTATTATATGTTTGTAGAGAGTGGCCTTGACTTGGTCGCCTTTTTCTGTATTAGTAGTAATAGCCCATTATACCAGTCACAGTGTTCGTCTCATGCTAGATGATGGGACTTGCTTCAGAACAAATAAGAATGCCCACCATCCCAAAGGGGAGCAGTTCTGTGTGCTGGGAAATACTTGGGATGTCATCTTTTCTGAGCCTGGCTATCTAAGCACCCTTTCTCTGATCCACATGGGGCTTGGGCCATCCTTGTTTTGATGCACCCCAAAAGACAAACAAAACTTGGCTGGAAATGCTTTGTTTCATTTGGTATGATTAAGACCTGAGCTGCCACAATCTCCTTGCAAATTGGGCTGAGTTTCTGAAAGGGTAAGAGCCTGCCTTGCATGTCCGGGCTGGAGTTCAGGCTCTGGTGACACAGGTTGTGCAGACATACCCTAGCTGGCTTTACACTGTCCAGCTCAAGTGCAGGTAGCAGGATACACCATTATTCGAACCCCAGCCAGCTAGTTTAAAGCAAGCCCTAATATACCACTGAAGTGACTGCAGACGTATATCTGGATCAACTTCCCATGACATCAGGGCATTATTGGACAAAACTATTCCTCAGCAGAGTCAGTTGCTCATTGGGCAACCATTGGCTTCATCAGTATGGTTGATTGTTTGTTTTCTCATAAAAATTGTGGAACTGGAAATTTGCTATATGGTCCATTTGCAAAAGAATTGAGGGAGCAGGGAGGAAGAGACAGTTATGGAGGTGGGAAGACAAACAGCATACCAAATGTTTTGGGTTCCCAAACACCAAACATCTTTGGCTTTTGTTTCATGTAAAAAGTGAGGGGAAAACCAGCAAATTATATATATATATATATATATATATATATATATATATATATACACACACACAAATTGTCATTTGTCTGGAAAGCACTTACATTTTTTGACCACCTCTCCCCAGCTATGACCTGAAAACCCTGTCATTCCCCTGATCTGCTTAACCTTCTCTCATATCAGAGTCTCAGCTTGGTCCCACATGACTGATACCACAAGCAGCTACAGTCGAATTTTGGCTTAGGCACAGATGATGCTTGATAAGACAGATTTATTGTGTGCATTTATTTTTTTCTTTCCCTCTCCCCCTCCCCAAACCAGAAACAACTGAACTTGGTAACAAGAAGGAGCTCAAGTCCATGCCGTTTATCACCTACCTCTCAGGCCTGCTGACAGCTCAGATGTTGTCGGATGACCACCTGATCTTGGGCGTGGAGATTCACTGTGAAGAGAAGGGGCGCTGCCCCTCTACCTGCCACCTATGTAGGCGTCCTGGCAAGGAGCAGCTCAGCCCTACCCCGGTACTGCTGGAAATTAACCGCGTGGTGCCACTGTATGCTTTGATCCAAGACAACGATACCAGGGAGGTGAGTGATGTTTGCCATAGTAACCTCTCTGCCTCCCTGCTTCTTCCCTCCATCCATCCATCTTGTAAGCTGTCTGGAGCAGGGACTCCTCATTTGATTTTAGTTTCTACAGTGCTCAGCACAATGGGGTACTAAACCATGACCTAGGTTCCTAGGTGCTACCATTACAATATAAAATAGTGGTTCTCAATCGTTTTATATTTGAGATGCCTCTCATTAGATACAAGGCACCCTTTAGAAAATGCTAGCTCTCAGTGTTCGCTCTTTTTTATTATGGAAAAATAATAGAGCAGTTTTTCTATTGCAAAGATCTCAGAAAGACCACAACGGGTCAGGATGTTTTTAACATTATGGATTTCTATTTGAAATTGCTGCATTTATCGTTTGAACTATGTTTTCACACTTTACAGTGCTAACATTGTGTAGGACTCCAGGTCACCCTTGAAAGGATCTCAAGGCATCCAATCCTGGCTAAGAATGACTAGTATAAGTCTTTATCCTATCTATGTATCTCACACCAATTAGAATCTAAGGGCCCAGCCCCAAAAGGTTACTAAACACCTAATTTCCACATAGAAGCCCAAGTACTTCTTTGGATCTGTCCCTAAGTGCTACCCAAATCGTTCTCATCTCAGTATAACAGTCTGAATGTAACTTAGTGCCCATGTGTCTCATGTAACAGGAGAGTCCCTACCCTCCAAGTCTCCCCCTCTTGTGTTCACTGTTTCTCTTGGATCTGTGCATTCCTCCCTCCCTCCTTTCAGCAGGGTGAAGCATCCAAATCATTCTCTCAGCAAAAGCAACACAAAACAGCCTATGAAATGTTTGCACTCCTAGGCAGGAAGCAGAGCTTGAGATCTTTGTCGTGGACATTCCTGGGATTTGGGGAATTGGGCACGGGGCCATCTTTCCATTTCTCCTCGGGGTCTGGAGTCTCACCCCTTAGATTTGGATAGGGAACACGCCTGAGATTCTCAAAGCAGCGTAGCACCTTGCAGCCCTCATCCCTGCACAACCACTGCAGGGGGAGTCTGGCCTGGGAACAGACCCCTGGGATTCACTCAACCAGCCGCTGGAGGTCACTGTTACTCTAATAGGTACAGGCGAAGCGCGGAGGTCAGCCTCCCCTCTGGCACATGGCTTCTCTCCTCTCTCGCTCTCATTCTGCAAATCCGGCAAAAACTTAAATGTTAATCATATGTAGATTTATGTTCCGGATTCCTCGTTCCTACCGCCTTGCCCCCACCCCCTGCCCCATTCCCATATCCAAAAATGACAGACCTGCTTAAAGTCACTTATTAGCACCAAGCCTGCTCTTGATTAAGGGAGTTGGAGCGAGCCAGCATGCAGCAGCTGTGGGTGGGACGAGAAGGGATGCAGGTCTGGAAACAATCCTGGCAAGTAGAGGTGTGACCACCAAGCATGAGCACCCAGCCCCCTCCCCTGCCCCAACACTGCATCCATCCCTCTTACAAGCTCCATCCATTGTTATCTCTGCCTCTCACTTTCCCTCGCTCTATCCCTTCATCTCTTCCCCCTGCCTCAGTCTCTCTTGGCATTGCAGTGAGCCCCATCAGAGGGCAAGGGGTGTGGGAGAACATGGGGTGGAGGGTGAGGGAGACAATAAGTGCAGAGGGGGCTGGGGGATGGCCTGAGTCAGGACACAGTGCTGTGGGTATGGCAGACAGAGTGGAGATGCTGTATGCTACACAGAGATCCCATGGCACTGGTGCACAGCAGCAGCTCACAGGCACATGCTTCCACACTTAGGGCAGGGATCAGGAAAGATTGGTGCCCTCTTCCTTGTCCCCCTCCCACAGTTGTCACACACAACCTCACTGCTGGAGTGCAACAAGGGCAATGCCGTCTTCCCAAAGCCAGGCCCAGGCCAAGGTTCATTTGTCCAGCGAAAGGCTCTGATTCCTACTGCTGTTTGTTTGCTTCAGGCCACACTTACCCACCCATGCTCCTTTTAGGGTCCCTATAATTTTTCTGTTGCAAGAGCCAGGTAATTCCTTTTGTATCCCCTCTCTCTATCTATGCCTGTCCCCTTGATCTCTCTGTTTATCCGTTCTCTCTCCCACAGTGTGTTTGCATTATTTCATTCTTCCTTTCTTTCCCCTTCACTGGTCTGCTACCTCTTTCTCTCTATTCCTTCCTTCCTTCCTTTTTCTGAAGACTCTTCCTACCTGTTATTTTTATCCTCTTTGTTCTAATAGCCCTGGATCCTCTGTTGAATGGGAGAGGTTCCTATTATTTCGGAGTCAATCAACTACCAGCTCCAAGCCCCCAGTAGGAACTCGCAAACACTACTGTGAAGAAAGATCAGGCATGTCTCTGGGTGCCAGGACGGGTCAAAGTGCCAAGATGCTCTCTGTGTTGCCGTTGCAGCAGTGTTGGTGCACCAGGCACATTTCCTACTGGGGAAACAGCATGAACCCCATTGAAAGACAGAATTTGAGTTGAGATGATCCAGACTGGACCTGTAATGCTGTGTTAGTTTTGCCACTGTGAAGAAATGCAGTGAACCTGGTCATGGCACAAGCTAAGTCTCTGCCCCAATGTGAAGTCAGTCAGTTGTACCAAATGGACTCAGCTGCAAAGAATCCACTGCCCCCCTTCCTCTTCTCCCAGCCATTCATATTAGAACAGGCCTTTCCGTTTCCCCTGGGTGAAGAGGTGCCTAACCCATTTAAACACATTAGTAGGAGATGTGGAACCAAGCTGAAACCCAGCTCTCAGGTCCCTGTTTGCTTGTTAGGTCTTCATCACCATAGCATATCCTAGCATATGCATGGAGAAAGTTCTGTGGACTGATTGTTTGATAGTAAATATTCAGTTGTCCATGTGCTACTTAACTGCAGTTGGTCAGAAAAGTCACATGATATGTACTTCTGTTGGATGCTGAAGCATTCATCAAGCCAGTGCTTGGGTTTAAGTGTTTAAATCCTGCTTTCTGAAATTTCTTGTGCATGAAACCTCAACATTTGCCTTCTACAAACATTTCTCCTGGCCAAACATGGCTCCTCTGGTATCCGTGGTACACGAAGGTAGAAGAGAGTGAGCGTGGCTCAAGGACATTCATTCAAAGTTTAAATACTTGTGAAATGACTACTCCATGGCTATGGAACAAGTAACATGGGGGTCCTTGGTGAAGGGTTTCTCAGTGGAAGGGCTGCCTATAAGGTGAATACAGAGGGCATGACCCAGCTGCCTGGGGTGGGGCTGGTGAGTACACTGCCTTTTTCACTCTGTTGCTACTGTCCAACTTGCTTTCAAATCTGATCCACTGCCCTCCTTCTGGGTTGAGGCTGGCCTGATGTGAACAGGCAGAGAAGTTGTGACTGAGGCACATATTGGGGCAGTCTTCTGCAGGAAGTCTCTGGGGACCATGCCACATGCAGACTATGTCTGTACACATCTCCTCAACCCATTTAAGTCAGTTATCACCCTGCAGGCACCATGATACTAGGTTTGAACAATGGTCTACGCATTCCAGGATCCTGTTTTGGACAGCTGTTAGTCACTGATTCTTCAAAGGAAGATGCAAGAAATTGTTCACTGTCAGGGCATGGGAACCCCTGAGGTTTGGCTCATGTCTTGAAGGACAAGTCTCCCATTATACAACTTTATCCAGTCTCACAAAAAAGGTCCTCTGGATGTCTGGCGCAGAATGCTCTTGAATGAACATGACAGACTTTAGGCAGCCCCGTGGAGAAGAGATATGTGGCAGCTTTATGGTGTCCTCGATGCAAGTTCCAAAACTGAAGAAAAGAAGAATTTCATCTGACCTCAGAAAGGGCAGGGTTTCTACATGTGCCATGCCTGTACCACGTGGTGTAGTCATTTGGTCTCCTGGGCTTAGCCCATGCACCTCCAGCATTTCATTCCCATCCCATGTTGCCCAAAGCAAAGCATCCATTTCTTGGGATGGGCAAGACGATTCCCATTACATAGAGCTTTCCTGACCCTGATCCTGATCCAGAGGAACAACCATCTTCTCCAGTCTTGATGGAACAGGGGGTCACTTCCTTTCTTTCTTTTTTTTTTTTTTGGCAGTGAATTTTCCATACAGCCTTCAGCTCTGAGTGTAGCCAGGAGAAAGAGGAGGGAGGCAAAGCCTATAATATCATTATTCTCACCTTTTTGCCCCTTTGACTCCTTAGCTCTCTGCAGCTGCATGATTGACTAACAGCCCAGCTCATGGTAATCATGGAGAGGCACAGGCTGAGAAAGAAAGAGCGAGACAGCAGGTTTGCATATTCTGTAAACCTCCAAGTCCCCTGGAATAGGCTATTAGAAACGGAGCCAGTCAGCTAACCCTGAGAGGCACCAGGAAGAGAATGGAGACGCCCTGCTCCTTTCCCGCTCTCCCCTCCCACTCTGAACATCAGCTCATAAATGATACCGAGACCTGGAAGACTTGGGGTGTGTGGGAATGCCGGTTACCTGCCAGACCCCACCTTCTGTAGGGACTGCCAGCAAAGCCATGCCGGTGCGGCAGTTCAGATGCAATACGCCGGGGGTGCACACTTTGATTTGCATTGTGCTCTCCCCCACCAAAACTCAAACAAACCCCCTCAAACCCGAGCTCTCACAACACAGCGCGGCCAGCTGCAGAAACACTTAGAGTGTGGCGTGGGGAGGGAGGAGAATGAGAGGAGATGAATCTTGTCCCCTCTGGGAGATGGATTCAAAGCTCTGTTGTTTGTATTTAAGGAGACAAATGGACATCTAGTTAGAATTTTAGGAGACCTCTGGGACCTTATTTAATTTAAAAATTGAGTAATTTCAGCATTAATCTTTAGCCATGTCTGCCTCGCAGCAAACAGCACAACACAGGACCCACAGGCCGAGCCTGCTGTGTGGAAGAGATGTGGATTCACTGGGTATAGACACAGAAAGTCCCTCAGTAGTGTAGCTACAGTCTCTTCCCAGCCAGGCCTTCCTGCCGTCATAAGGGGACACAAGGCTCTTTAGGGACTTCTTTCCTTTTTTGG